ATAGTCTTGATGCACCAGAAGGAAGTAAATTGGTCCCATTCTCGGTACCATCACGGCGTTCCAGCGAATTTATTTGACTGGTGGTCGGAAGCCGCGTTGGTGGGGCTGAAGCATGCCCTTCTGGAATGTCGCGCCTGTTGCAAACCTGAAGAAACATACATCAAACCGGTGTGTGGCTTGAATATTTGTAATACTATCTACTTATGTTTAATGAGTAACAACTATATAGTAGAAAAACGAATATGTGGTCACTGAGACAGTGTGGTTTTGATCTGACGTTTCGGGATCTCTCTTGAACCCACCATCGGGACGGTTGCAGAAAAGGCGAGATCCCAAAACGCCAAACCAATAATCACCATTTTCCAGTGATCGCATCATCTTCTTCTGGACTACTTCCCTGAATTTGTCTGTTTGCTTCTTTCAGTAATAAATCACAATTACCCGCACCTGATTAGCCTGACCAGTCCTTGCTTCTTGTGCTGCTGCATATTCTGCACGCTTCCGCCAGTCATAGCCACGTAGAATGGCACTCTCCGTCTGCATGTATGAACCATTATTCCACAAGGTATATCCATCCTCATTGATGCTGCCAGTAGTCTGTTCTTCTGTTCGCAATTCGAACGGACTGTTATCCTGCGTTAAGTGGAAACCGCAGGCTGAAGTTGGCCGTCGTCTGTTGATATCGCCCTGAATCTCTCGGGAAATTGAGGGTGCTGACAGAACAGTAGAGAGGATGAGACTACTTAGACACGTGCACGTAACACAAAATGCACTTATGAAGGGTTGCCAGTTAACAGTGAAATTGCTTAACAGAATTTCGCCAGTTCCAAAGCGAACGGTTGAGGCAATGTGGTAAATCTCTACTTACTTAGACATTGGTTTGTGTGTGCTAGTCATTTTTCGAAAGTTTTTAACTGATGGCATAATAATGACTATCTATTCTGATTTTTCCCTGGTGGGAATTGTTTGTATGCCATATTCACTCGGTTGGACAGGAAGAAAAGAAACACGTGTCGCTGCCCCAGATTTCAGTAAGGATACCTATTCTCCTTTATGACAAAGGAGACTAGGACGGCTATTTCTGGCTTATTAATCTTCGTCAGTTAGTCATGCCCAATCCTAAGTTGTCCCCATATATTGGTGCCCCATCTGAGGGTCTTTTTCGGTAGTGCCTTTCTGCCTATATCATTAGCCACCTTGCGGCGCGGCTGAAGTAAGAGCCTGAGAGGCCCAGTACTGGACGAGTGTGTCCTGTGACCGATCGGTATGCACCCATCTGCCACTGCATATATATTTCTAGATATAGCATATAGCTTGAAAGTTTATTTCGTAGCGCAAAATGAAATTCGCAGATTAAATATTCAGTATGTTTGTGTAGTTAGAACGGCAGGTATATATGAACAACCTACCTACCTGCTTGGTTAAACCTCAAAGACCGAATGCCCAATAACAGTAAGGTACTTAAAAATAACGGCAAAAGTAGTTGATGTAGTGCACCTCATATACCCCTAGTCTCAGCATTTTGTCCGACGAAAACGGGAGTTAGAGGGTTTTTGGGGGTGAGGGTGGGAAAATAAGATAGGCAGCGAAGGAAATTTTTAGAAGTCTCCAGAACAGCAAGTTGAAGTAGACGACCTGCTAACCATCATTTCTATTTTTCAGGAATTTCAAGAAACCTGCAACTTAATAATAGACTTTTTACGCAATAGCTTAAACGATAGTACAGATTCGGAAAATCTACGGATATACATCAACAATATTTCTAAATACAATAAAATAAAAGTGCATATAGCCGTTACTAAAGTGTGTTCTACTGCCTATCCTAATTCCCCACACATAAAACCCTATAACTATCGTTTTCGTAGGACAAAATGCTGGCACTGGAGATCAATGAGATACACTACATAAACAACCGTTGCCAAAAAGACTCAAAGACAAATATAATGACATCGCCATACAATCAGATTTGTCAGGCGACAGTTCAATGTGCATCTGTTCGGAGTCCGTAGCTTATGTGTAAAATGCTAGCCTTTGAAACCTAAGGCGACCGTCCTGCAGTACCCGCATTAGGGAGGTCTAGGTCGGTCTATAATTGGCTAATGACACCAATTAATTCGGAGATGGCCATTCCAGTCTCCCTCCCTCATGTCGTATTCCTTCTAAATGTTTGTGATTTCTAACATTTTTAGTTGAGCGGACGCAAAATACACCCAAAAAACTCATTGAACAGGTTATCAACAGTGGAGCCTACCATTTGCTGGCTCTACAGTTTGTTTGAAAGCGGCGACAGTGGCTGCGCCGTATTTGGCCGTCACCGCGGAAAGGGACTCTGGCATGCAGTTAGCGTTGGTCTGGTCATTCTTCGGTGGGAAGAAGACTCCCGGGAACTGCCTCAGTGCAGTGGAGCTCAATTCAGGTACATCTCCTGGCCGTGGTCTCGTGGTGGTAGTGGGGGTACTAGCTCCCTGCTTTCGTCGATTGGCACGAGCCTGTAAGTACCAGGGTCGCCTACGGATGCAGTCATAGTCTGTCGGTCTCCGTGGCGGAATTACCGGTTTGGAAGTCTCCTTCGCTTGCAGCAGGTTTGCTGCTTCTGCCAGGGAAAGGATTGGTGGGACATTTTGGACGGTAGGCAAGCTTGAATCATCAATGCTACTACCGTTTGCCGGCGATCGGCAGTCCTGCTCGACTGAACGACCGGGTGATGAGTAGAAGTCTGCCGCCTGCCAACTGCCGAAATTCGGCGAGGCCGGTAGGCTAAGGCGTCTCGATGCGCCTGTATTTTGGGAGAGAAATCAAAATTGTGAAATCGGAACA